GCCATTAAAAAACTTCACAGCGAGTGGGATGCATCTTACAACGAACTATCAAGTTGGTTTAGGGTAGTGCGTAGATTGAATCCTTGGACAATTGTCGACTTCAAAACTTGTCATGCATACCACAATGATCGAGTGCTTCGCAATCAATGCCAATTCTACCAGCATTTTTGGACATACCCACAATGCATTCATGTTGTGAAATACTGTAAACCCGTAGTCCAAATTGATGGGACATTCTTGTATGGAAAATACAAGCAAGTTTTACTATTGACAGTTGTTCAAAATAGTAATCGCAACATTCTTCCAATTGCTTTTGCCCTTGTTGAAGGAGAAGATATACATTCTTGGGCTTTTCTTCTAATAAACTTACACTTACATGTTGTCACGAGTGGGAAAAATTTGTGTCATTTCAGATCGCGAAGCTGAGATCAAAGCAACAATGAATTCTTTGGGTCCAATGTGGCAACCACTCTATGTCCAACATCGCTACTGTATCCGACACATTACTGCTAACTATCATGGAAAGTTCAAGAAGAATGATGAGTGTCAATTACTTGTGCGCATGTATATGTAAAAATGCCTAATATTATTTCTCAATCATTTTCATTTTTTATGAAAACTTAACAATAAGTTCTACATTTGACGCTCAGGTTACGAATTATTACCTGAAGCATTTGAGTCCACGCTTCAAGATTTGCGAGGAAAGTACGAGAAAGGATATAATTACACCAACCTCATAAACAAAGAAATGTGGACAAATACATATGATGGTGGATATCGATATGAACACATAACGGCCAACTTGGTTAATGCTATCAATTTAACCTTAAAAGGGGCACACCATTTACCAGTAACGACTTTGGTTCAAACGACGTATTTTCATTTGGGAGAGGGAGCATTTTTTGCCAAGCTCGAGGGACAAGTTCAAACTTGGATACAAAATGGTCATGTCTATCAGGAGTGTGCAAATTCGGGTACCCGGAACATCCGGTTCGGTGATTTCTCGGCCCGTGTCCAGACCCGGATGTTGCGGGTACACGTTTTTTTCATTTTCAAATTATAAATTAAAAAATTATGCACAAATTTAAATGTTCGAACTTCGAATTATATACTCCAACATCCGAACATAAAATTTAAAAGTTTGAAATACAAAATCTAATAATTTATAATATAAATAATCCATTATATTATATTATTTATATATATATATATATATATATATTTAAAAAAAACTAACCGGATACCCGAAAAAACACAATTTTGTGACTCAAGCCCGACCCGGGAAATGTCGGGTCGGGGTCGAGTATCCGACCCGGTCAGGTAATTTTTTTAAAAAGTTACCCGATTTTTTAATGTTCGAGTCGACGGGTCAGGTTAACCGGGTTAGGTATTTTTGCACACCCCTAATGTCTATCACTTAATATTAGTTGTAGATCTACAAAAAAGAATTGTTGCATCAAATAAAATATCTGTAACAATCTTCTCTAGAACCCATGAATTACTTCGTGTCACAGAGATGTTGCGACCTCTTCAACGGATTCAATTTAACTCGTTCAAAGTTAATCTACGAGACAGGGGTGGTGTGATTGTGGTTATTTTCAAGCTCTGAAGTATCCATGCTCCCATGTCATATCAACTTGCTCTCATACTCGTTAAGATTATAATCGTTTTGTGGATCCCGTATACAGACTTTCAGAAGTATTTAAGGTATATGAATTTGAGTTCCCCTATAGATAATGAGAAAGACTTTGATGAGGTTCAAAATTCGCTTCTGATTGTACCAGATCCGTCCTTATTAAGGGAGTTCGGTCATCTAAAATCCACTCGAATTCATTGTGATATGAATATTCAGGAGACGTCCAGAGAAAACAAAAGATGTAGGTATTGTAGAAACCTAGACACAATAGGAAAAAACGTCCATCTCTTTTGTCATCAATTAACCGTTGATGTTGTGATGATGTAATTGTTGTTTATAAAATCTAAGTTTGTGTTATTTAATTTTTATTTTCTTTCAATTAATGTCATTTGAGCATCGCCAAGTCATGGGCTACTCAAGTGAAAATTAAATAAAAAACATTACAAACTAAATACAAGAAAATGATACAATTCAAAAAATAAAAATATCTAATGAGAAATATTAAATGCAGACGATACGATTCGAACAATTAAATAATAAAAACAATAACAAACAAAATAAATAAAAAGTCCATAATTAAATAAAAACTTTACAGTTGCTGGTAAACAAATAAAATTAAATAAAAACATTACAAACTAAACAACTCTATCGATGTCTGCGTCTTGAATGTGTTTCGCAGGGTAGTGGTTGTCTGTGTCGATGAGGATTTCTTCGTATAACTTGTTATTCCTCCTCACTCTCATCATCATCATGAGTATCTACATTTTGTTGATGAGGGACAGATGACGATGTAGTACCTCCATAGAATAATGACCCTGGAGGTGTATGATTGATTATCCCACCGCTCACAGAAAACTGTGAAAACTGTGAAAACACCGACATCGATGAGTGCAAAAATTACGTCGTAGGTGTATGTGTATGTGGTGAACCTTCAACCGCCAAATAATCAACATATGAACCCCACGCTGGATCTACAAGCATAGAAGTATAATATCCTCCAGGAGGGGTCATAAAACCCTACGACGATGTCATCTAATATGGAATCGGTGGCGTCTAACCTAGCTACGGTGGTATGTGAAATGATTGTGGTGTCATCTGATACGACTGCAGTGTCATCTAAAATGGCTACGGAATGTACACCGTTATAGATGGTGGTTACTATGATGGTTTCGGTGCTACAATTGAGGACGAGCCAAAAGCGTCTACTCTCCGCCCACGAGTCGAGGGATGGTGATGTTGTGACGGTGGATGACTTTGTCGGCGTTGATGAATGCTCCCGTCTCGTGCTTCCTCAAAAAGTAGTAATGATTTTCCGTTCGTGTTGAACCACTCATAATAATCATCTGGAACCAATAATAATCCACGTAAACGAGTTTCGTATAAAGAATGCATCCACGTCGATCCTCATATATCATTACCCACTCGATGTGCTTCAACAGCCAATAAACTTTTTTTTTGCCTCGTCTATCAATGATATACATATCGTCGAGATTCTTAGGTGCTTCCAGAGTAGATTGTACAAAACCAAATTGGCGGAGCACACGATCAGTAGGATGCCACTCGACAATAGCATAACATATCTGAGGGACCACTGCCATCCAAACATCTAATATGCATTTCAAGTTATGCGGGATACAAATCCTCATTTCTTCAGTAGAATAAGGAGCTCATTGAAAATAAAACAAATATATATAATTTTTATCAAAATAATATTCTAATTATATAACGATAATTAAAAATAAATAATAAAATTTAAATAAATACATCTATATCAGCCTTTTGATCAATGAGTAGCCAAATTTCTTCCAATTCATCTGGTAAATCCCGATGATCTTTTATTGCACTTGACCACATAGTCAATAACAAAAATTTCATTATATACTCAATAAAATTATTTATATATGATTTCAGTATTGAAATTACCTCAGCAATAGCAGGAAGACTAAAGGGTTTTTCATGACCGAACATAGAAAGGGAATGCGATATCACGCCCAAGACTAGAGAAGAAGTAAACATCCACCGATAACATTTTTTGATAATCAGTTGCTCGACACATTTCCCTATACAAAAATGTCAAAACTGTGGAGCCCAACTGAGTGTGTCGGCAACGTGAAAATCTGCGAGTGACGCAACCACATACAATGAACTTGGTTGAGCGATTTATCGGGCATCAGGATCCCTCATATTAGTTGTAATATGCAAGCCCGTACATACATTTTAATCTGTTTCTCGGAGGCGTTGTGACTCAAATGTTTAAAAGTTGTATCCAACCAATTTAACGATATTTGACCACCGTTGAAATTATGCGAGACACCTCCAAGATACTCCTCGCACAAGGAATATCTGTCACTATCCGCCACCCCATAAATCATAACCCCATCTAGTGAAAGCCCCAAATTTTATGGAAACATCATCTAGCGTAATAGTGCACTCTCCACATGGAAGATGAAATGTGTGTGTCTTAGGTCTCCACCTCTCAACCAGTGCAAAAATAAGGTTGGGTTCAAGGTTATAGTGTGCTTCCTATTTCTCTACGTAATCGAATCCAACCTCGACTAAATATAACCAGACACGAGTAGGTATCTCTAACTTAACGTTACGAATAAATGAATCTAATATATGGTCTCTCTCCTAATTTAATAAATATTATACAAATTAAAACATAAACTAATACTAAAAAATTAAATAAATAAAACATTCACAATAATTAAAATAACAACACAATTTAAAACTGATACCGTATCGGTAAAATGCCGAGATATGATTCACATGTAAACGTAGTAACTCGCATTTCATTTTATAACTGTAAAAAGTAATAAAAATATAACAATAAAAATTAAATTATTAAATAATTATAATATAATAAAAATATTTTATCTTTTTAATAGAAATATTGATAATGGGAAGAATGAGAGAATTTAAAATTTAATTGTGGTTTAAATATTGTGTTAAGTACGGTATTTATAGAAAGAGGAGAGAAAATGATAAATGATAATCAATGCACGGATGATTGGGAAATTAAAAAAAAAGACACGAGCCTACATGTTAGAGTTCAACAAAAGCAAGAATGAACATCAGTTCGGATAGAATTCCACACGCAACTCATAGTCCGCATTTTATTATCACTGTGTAAAAAAAATACTAAATCAATAATATTAGTGGATAAGTGTCACAATTAATTATCGGATCCAAAAATTGTATTTCGGGAAAAACGCCAGGAAACGCACTTCATCTTTTGATTTTTCCAGTAGAGCAAAACAAGAACTTGTAGGGGACCCTTCCCATGTCTCTCTCAATCCCTATTAATAAAGATAGCCATGGAAGATGAATAACTTAATGAAAAGCTTGCCCCTTTGAAGATTAGACTTTGACCCGTTAATAGAAACGCGGGAAGAAAAGTCTCACTTTCCTCCCATTTTCCTACTAAACAAACACCAAATTCTCAAACTTAAAAGGGTCTCCAACTTACTCTTTTTTCTCCTCAACTTGTTCTTCAAACCCAAAGTACCAGACTCTCTCTTATCCTCAACAATTTTCAACTATTACCCCTTTTTTCCCTCTTGGTTTTCTTCAACGGAGACTGCTTAAAGGTAAAATACTTGACCTTTGGGTTCACTTTTCTTGTTTTTTAGATGACGTGTTGAATTTATGAGTTTTTTATTGTTGGGTTTTCGGATTTTTGGTTCTTTGCTGTGAATTTTTCTTAGGAATTTTTGTTTAGACCCATAGCTGTTTTCTGTGTTATATGTTTGAATTTATGGATTATTTGAATTGGGGAATATGTAACAAAAAAATCTAAATTTTGGATTTCTTTTTCTGGAGTTTCAGTTTTGGATTTGGGTTGTTTTGCTTTCAGTTCTTGAAAAAAAACCCGAAAAACCTCGAACTCGAAGATTTGTTTGTACTTTGGTCTAGCAGAGCTTAAGAATGTTTCTTCCTGTTTTATTATTGCTATGAAGTGAGAAACTGAGTTCTTGTTGCTGTAATAATTATGCAGGTCTTTTTGTGGGATGTTCAGTGGTTCAAAGAGTGAACTTATTCCCTCAAATTTGAACATGGAGGAGCTGAAAGCCGGTGCTCCTCGTGAATGCTCGATTTTGCTAGAATTGGCTGCCTCTGATGATATGGTAGCCTTTAGAAGTGAAGTAGAAGAGAAGGGTTTGGATTTTGGTGAGGCGAGCTACTGGTATGGTAGAAGATTAGGGTTGAGAAAGATGGGGTTTGAAGAGAGGACGCCTTTGATGATTGCGGCCATGTTTGGTAGCGTCAAGGTTTTGAAATATATCATTGGAAGTGGTAAGATCGATGTGAATAGAGCTTCGGGTAGTGATGGGGTTACTGCCCTACACTGTGCCGTTGCTGGTGGTGCGGATTCTTCGGTAGAGATCATCAAGCTGCTTCTTGATGTGTCTGCCGAAGTGAATTGTGCTGATGCTAATGGGAACAAACCTGTTGATCTGATTGCTTCGGGTTTAAAAGCTTCGAGTAATTCCAGAAGAAAGGTGATAGGGTTGTTGATGAATGGTGGTGATGTTTTTGACAGGGACGAAAATTCTGCTAAGATGATGATGCCTCAGTTGCTGAAAGAAGGGTCCGAGAAGAAAGAATATCCTGTGGATGCATCACTGCCCGATATCAACTACGGGATATATGGAACCGATGACTTCAGGATGTATACATTTAAGGTTAAACCTTGCTCAAGGGCTTACTCCCATGATTGGACCGAGTGCCCTTTTGTTCATCCCGGTGAGAATGCGAGGAGGAGGGACCCGAGGAAGTACCCTTATAGCTGTGTACCTTGCCCTGAATTCCGAAAAGGGGCATGCCCCAAGGGAGATAATTGTGAATATGCTCATGGTGTGTTTGAATCCTGGCTTCATCCTGCTCAGTACCGGACTCGACTTTGCAAAGATGAGATTGGCTGTGCACGTAAAGTCTGCTTCTTTGCTCACAAACCAGAAGAATTACGCCCTGTGCATGCTTCAACTGGTTCAGCGATGCCATCTCCGAGGTCTGCTGCAGTGAATGCAGTAGACACAACGACTTTGAGCCCTCTAGCACTCTGTTCATCATCCTTGCCGATGCCTATGGCTTCAACACCACCCATGTCTCCTATGGCAGCCTCTTCGTCTCCAAAACCTGGAAGCTTGTGGCAGAACAAAATTAGCCTCACCGTGCCTGTGCTACAGATACCTGGTAGCCGTTTAAAGACTGCTTCTAGTGCCCGAGATTTTGATTTAAAAATGGAGTTACTCAAGCTTGAAAACCAATTGCAGCAACAACAATTAATGGATGAGATATCGAGTCTCTCTTCCCCATCTTGTTGGAGTAAAGAATACAGTTGGCGTGGGGATTTGAACCCTACTAATCTTGATGATGCATTTGGATTCCTCGACCCTTCCCTGCTGTCTCCATTGAAGGGACTCTCCGAAACATCCGGTATACAAGCACAGTTGCAATCCCCAACTGGGCTTAAAATGCGCCAAAACATGAACCAACTCCGTTCGAGCTACCCATCAAACCTTACCTCATCTCCGGTAAGGAAGCCCTCGTCATTCGGTTTTGACTCATCGGCTGCAGTGGCAGCAGCTGTAATGAATACCCGGTGTTCAGCATTCACAAAAAGGAGCCAGAGTTTCATAGACCGTGGAGCCAGCCATGCAGGACTTACCATGCCCGCTAATTCCGCCACCACAATGTGTTCAAACAAGTCTTATTGGAGCTCCCCCTATGGGAAATTGGATTGGGGTGTTCAAGGAGACGAGCTAAACAAGCTTAGGAAGTCTGCTTCCTTTGATATTAGAAACAACAATCCCGTCGCAAGAGCAACGACAGACATGATGCCATCCGATATCGACGAGCCAGATGTGTCCTGGGTTCATTCTATTGTGAAAGATGTTACCCCAATGGGAACCCTGTTGCAACCGCAGCGACAATACAGTAGCAGTAAAGGCATTCGAGAAAGGCTGCCGCCATGGGCGGAGCAAATGTACATAGAACAACAAGAGCAGATGGTGGCATGAAAAAATATTTCATTTGCTCATCGCTTTATTCTTAACATATATTTCATATATTCTTGAATCATTAGGTGAAAAGTTGGATCAAAACAAAATTAGAAATTGGTTTTGATTATTTCATATTCTTAATTCTTTGTATGTTCTTCCCCATTGGGGATTGTTCTGAATGTTTCGGCAAGGAGAAGCGAATCCTCCATTATGAACTTTATCAACGATCTCGTTCTAATTTTATTCTCAAAATTTTATTTAATTAATCTTAAATTCTACAATTCGTTTTCAATTATAACTTTTTTTATCAAATAGAAATGGAATATTAAAATGAGGCTACACCTATTTTTTATTAGAAAATATTGGCACTTCAATTTATCTATTAACACCATTTTTTTTCGGTTACAAAGGGATCTATTAACACCACTTTAGTGTATTATTTTTGCATTAATTATTATCTGGACATCCCCTTTATTACTATTAAACCACCAAGTTGACTCGTCCTGATAGCCGCCCACGAGACTAATTCATGAACCAAACGTTTATTATATGTTGGGTTTATTTTATTTAACAAGTTTGATTTGGTACACTAAAAATACGAGTGTTCAAAATTTATTGTTGTTATTATTATACAGGATTATTTTTAAAATATATATGTAATATATGATTTGGTAAATTTTATCCAATTGATTTATTTGATTTAATACATATTCGAATGTGATGACTTAAATATAATATAAAACCTGAATAAATCGAACTGAATAAGAATATATATAAATTTAGCTGAAGCCATATAAATTGATACCCAATTAAACCCAAAATATAAGTAATTCGAATTAAAAGTATCCTAAATTTAATTTATCAAAATTTGATTTGAACCAAAGACATTATTTTAACCCGATAATTGAGTAAAAGAGAATGAATAATTTATTTTTATTATTTTTTATTTTATAGCATGATAAAAATAGTGAAACAGTGTGTATTTTATTCTCTTTTTGTACTATATTATTAATTTTTTAACTAACCTTAATTCTAATCTTAATCATACTTAGAGGGGAGGGAAACTCTGGGGGAAGGCAATGAATGTTTTTAGTAGATCTAGAACTCATGACCTAATAAAATATGAGAGAATAAATATGAAATATGAATTGCTTGACCAACCGATCAAATATGTTTGCTCTATATTATATTATTAGTTAACTACTAATTTTAATAATAGTTTAATGGTATAATACTAAAGATCACTTATAATGTTTGACTTAATAATCAATAATCACTTAACTTTTTATTTTTCTTGAAATACTTTAATTATTAATATTTTATTTTAAACAATATCTCTAATCTACTTTGATTAATAAATCAACATAATTATATTTGTTGTCTCGTCTCTGTAGTACTCAATCTGAATTAGTCAGTCAATAGATCAAATATCAATGATTAATTCAAAAAAAATATTTGTTTTGACGCTATCCTTGAAACTTGTTTTTATTGATTCATACTATTTAAAAGTAAATTTAGGATGGGTCAAGTTCAAACGAATCGTATAAAAAGTTGTGACATGCTTTAACCAATTAATGGCATGCTGATTTATTAATCAAAGTAATATATATATATATATATATATATATATAAGTATAACCCATATATATTTGTAAATATTGTTTCCAAAGTATATTAAAAATCATATATATATATTATATATATATATATATATATATATATATATATTAATTTTAAATTTTAAAATTGTTCCTAATCATTATTTTCATTTAAAAAATATTAAATATTTATGATTTTAAATTTAGGGTTATTATTTGGTATACACGTTATGTAAATGTAATTTGTTTATTTTAACCATAAACCTTAAATAAGACTCTTAAACATTAAAATAAATATAATTGTATATTTGTAACCGATATACTAACTATATATTTTTAAAATTTATTTATTATTTTCTCTGGAACTTAATGGATTAAAATCATTCTGAATTTAAAAATACGTTGTAGGTTAGATTTATATGTGTTGAGTCTTTCGTATCGACTTCATATGAATGTTCTAAGCTTTCCTTTGTCAATATTTTTAGCTTCACTCTTAATAGTACATGCCCGCATTCAAACTCCTTGTCCTACGATCAAGCTCCTCTTTTTTTTTTTTTTTGACTTTTACGTTAAAATCATAAATGTTTATTTCTTGCCTTGTACTACGATCAATCTCCTCTCTTTTTTTGTTGTTGAGAATCCACGCTTTCTTCTTCTTCCTTTCTTGGTTTAAACTGTGCCGTTGACTGAGTTAAACTGTCGAGTTCTTAACCCGCGCGAGCTAAATGGTAATAATTTCATTTTCTTAATGGGTAAAGAACACAAATGATCCCAACTATCGGATATTGTTTTATTGAGTTCCTTGATTATTAAAAAGTTAAAAATAATCCTACTATTATAAGGAGTTGCTCTATTAAGCCCCTCACTTATTAAAAGTTAATAAATGATCATTCGACTATTTATTGTGTTTCAAAATCGTATTTTTATATTAAAATTTTGACGACAATCTAAGTTGTACGTTATCTTACTGACTAGGATATATTAAAATTTGATCTCATAATATCAAATTACTATCATATCTCAGTCAACATCCAGCTCAGACGATTGTTGTTTTTTTTAATAGAAAATGACGAGTTTAGAACATAATGAATAGTCGAATGATCATTTTGTAACTTTTAATAATCAATGGACTAAACAAAACAACTTAAGATAATCTAGGGCACAAACCAAACAACCTCGGTGGTAAAAGGAATTGTTGTTATTCCTTGAGATTCTAAGTTCAAGCACTAGGAATGCTAGGGGTGTGAACGTTCAACGTCACATGATTTAGAGTTATCTTTAAACATATATTATAACATATATTATCTTATATTTACCTAGATAATAGAAAAAAAGATAATCAAATAACTACTTTTTAATTTTTAATAGTCAATAGACTTAACAAAATAATATCTTATAATCAAGAGACCATTTATGTACTTTACCCTTTTTTTAATATATACACACACCTTGGTAATTATTTTTCAATTATATTATTTCAATACAAATATTATGCTTATGTAATGGGATAAGAGGGAGGTAGGGTAGTAGGCTGCCCCTAACGCCAGGTTGAGAGCAACTTCCGTGGAAGGCCTTCGGCAGTCAAAAAATTACAAATAAAGATAAAATGCAATGCATGTATAAATAATTAAATAAATACATAATTGAACAGTCTTCAGATGCAGTGTACATATGTACGTCTGTAATGAGAAATAATCCCTACGAGGAGATAAATCGCAGAGAGAATTTTTTCACCTTACAGATTAGATCTAAATCCAAAAAGCACAAGAAGATAAGGTTGAAGGAAAGAACCTGAGAAAGATCTGGGAGATTAGAAGTTGGTTTCAAATTGAAACTGGTCTGATCTTGGATCCTTGCACAGATATAATGATTTAGTTAATAAATTTATTAAGTGATTTTAGTGATAAAATAAAATATATTTTTAAAAATTTTAAGTTTAAGTGCTTATATTTATAAGATATATAATATATACTTTCAATTAATTAAAAAAATCTGAACATATATTATTTTATAATTACTTCAAATTATTAAAAAAAATATTTAATTAGTTAATCATTACTTAATTAATGATCTATAATTTATATTTTCACATAAATATTTTTATTTATATATTTTACTATGAAATACATTGCTACAATAAATATAAGTGTATGAATGCATATAGAGTTATAATCTGTAAAACTTAAAAAGGTTTATATAGTTCGTTCTTTTTATATAGTTGGATAAAAGAAAGTGGATGATCGAGATTAAAACTTTTAAATTAAAGATAATCTAATTTTTATTCTCTCTATCATTTATTGTTTATTTAAATTATTTATTTTCCTTCATCAAACAATCTTTAAAATATATTTTTAAATTTTATAACAAACTATACTTCATACATATAAATGAGTAATAAAATTGGCATTGACACATGGGTGCAAACTATATGTAACATCCCCAACCCGTATCCGACCCGGATCAGAGCTTAGACAATATATTATTTTGAATGCATGCCAACTAGAACTTTATAAATTAACATCCATATTATTCACATTTCTTCTGATCTGATTTTCGGTAAGGAAAACTGACCTGTCTTGCTCCACCTTGCTCTTTACTCTTCTCACTTCTGTAACCTACGTGTGAAACAATCACACGCTAAGTCTATGACTTAGTGAGGCATTACATTTATAAGAGAACTCTAATTATTTAAACATGCAGGAACACATCATCTCATGATTGTAAACACCCGTTTTTGTCCGGGTTTTTTTTTCCGTTATTTTATTATTATTATTATTATTATCGTTATCTTATTATTTTATTATTATTTATTATTACAATTTTTGCAGGCCTAATCCCTAAGCCCAATTCAGATTACAGAGGCCCAACAACCCGAAGCCCAATTGGCCCAATCCCGGAGCCCAACAACCCATCAGATTAGGGTTTCAAACCCTAAATCAGATTAGGGTTTCAAACCCTAAATCAGTTTAGGGTTTCAAACCCTAAATCAGTTTAGGGTTTCAAACCCTAAATCAGACTAGGGTTTCAAACCCTAATCCCCTAACTACACAGCCGCCGCTCAAGCCAGAGTCCAATCCCTCAGCCGCACGTTGATCTTCACCGAGCCACCAAGCCGAGGTGTCCCGTCGCCGCCGACTGCTCTCCTGCGTGAACAGTGACCGGTTCCTGTAAAAACAGTAACCCAATCAAATAACAGTGGCCTAAACTTACCCAAATCTAAAAAAAACCCATTAGAATAGCACCCTAAAATCCCGAAAAATCTGGATTTTATTCACCCAATCAGAGAAATCAAATCCTAGCTACCTAGATATCATCATCATCTCACCAGGAATCCAGAGGCAAGCAAAGATAAAAGAATAGAAAAAAAGAAAACCAGGGGGGACAGAGAGAAACTCGAAATAGAAAAAAAAAAGAAGAAAGAAAAGTTTTACCTCCTCCTCGAACCACCACCGTGAACCTCGTTGTGACCTTCTCCGATCTCAGCTAGCCCCGTCTGAAGGTAAAGCCTTCTCCTCTTCTAGGTTGGTTAGGGTTGGAGTGAGG